ACTTGGTGAGACCTTGTCTCTACAATAAATCAAAAATTAGCCGGGCGTGGTAGCACGCGCCTATAGTTCCAGCTACTTGGAAGGCTGAGGCAGAAGGATTGCCAGAGCCCAGCAGGTCGAGGCTGCGGTGGCCAGGAGCGGCCGCTGCACTCCAGTCTGGGTGACAGAGTGAGACTCCAACTCAAAAAAAAAAAAGGAAAATTAAACAGAAATTTGGTCAGGTACAGTGGCTCACGCCTCTAATCCCGCACTTTGGGAGGGTGAGGTAAGAGGACTGCCTGAGTCCACGGGGTCAAGACCAGTCTGGGCAACTTGGCAAGACTTTGTCTCTACAATACATCAAAAAATTAGCTGGGCATGGTAGTGCACACCTTTAGTTCCAGCTACTTGGAAGGCTGAGCCAGTAGGATCACCTGAGCCCAGCAGGTTAAGGATGGGGTGGCTGTGAGCATGCCACTGCACTCCAGCCTGAGTGGCAGAGTGAGACTCCAACTCAAAAAAGACAAAAAAAGAAAAAGAAAAAGGTTAGCTTAAAGAAGCTGTCTCGTGACCAGGCGTGGTGGCAAAAGCCTGTAATCCGAGGACTTCGGGGGCTAAGGTGAGGGGATTGCCTGAGCCTATGGATTTGAGAACAGCCTGGACAACTTAGCAAGACTTTGTTTCTACAGTAAATCAAAAAATTAGCCTGGCATGGTAATGCATGCCTGTAGTTCTGGCTACTTGACGGAAGGATCGCCTGAGCCCAGCAGGTTGATGCTGGGGTGGCCATGAGCATGCCACTGCACTCCAGCCTGGGCGATGGGGTAAGGCTCCAACTCAAAAAAAAAAAAAAAAAAAATTAAAAACTTAGCCAGGTATGGTGGCAATTGCCTGTAATCCCAGCTATTTGAGAGGTTTAGGTGAAAAGACTACCTGAGCCCAGGAGACTGAGGCTGCAGTGAGCTATAATCATGCCACTGCACTCCACCCTGGCTGACAGAGTGAGACTCTGTCTCTAAAAAAAGAAAAGAAAAGAAAGCGGGGCTCGGTGGCTCAGCCTGTAATCCCAGTACTTTGGGAGGCTGAGGTGAGTGGATTGCCTGAGCCCGCAGGTTCAAGACCCGCCTGGGTAGCGAGACCTCATCTCTACAATAAATCAAAAAACTAGCCGGGCGTGGTAGCACGCACCTGTAGTTCCAGCTACTCAGAAGGCTGAGGTGGAAGGATCGCCGGAGCCCAGCAGGTCGAGGCTGCGGTGACTGGGAAAGGCCACTGCACTCCAGTCTGGGTGACAGAGTGAGACACCAACTCAAAAAAACAAACAAAACAAAAAAAAGAAAGAAATTGAGTCGCCGGGCTCAATGGCTCAGTCTGTAATCCCATGCCTTTGGGAGGCTGAGGTGAGTGGATTGCCTGAGCCCGCGGGTTCGAGACCCGCCTGGGCAGCGAGACCTCATCTCTACAATAAATCAAAAAATCAGCCGGGCGTGGTAGCGCGTGCCTGTAATTCTGGCTACTCGGAAGGCAGAGGTGGAAGGATCGGCGGAGCCCAGCAGGTCGAGGCTGCGGTGGCCGGGAGCGGCCACTGCACTCCGGTCTGGGCGACAGAGTGAGACTCCAACTCAAAAAAAAAAAAAAAGAAAAGAAATTGAAAGCAGGGATTCAAACAAATATGCTGGGTTCATAGAAGCTCTATTCACAATAGCCAAAAGGTGGAAAGAACTCAAATGTCCATCAACAATAAATGGATAAACAAACGGTGGTATACGCATACAATGAAATACTACTCAGTCATAAAAACGCATTAAATACTGATATATGGCTGGGCTCACTGGCTCAGCCTGTAATTCCAAGCCTTTGGGAGGCTGAGGTGAGTGGATTGCCTAAGCCCGCGGGTTCGAGACCTGCCTGGGCAGCGTGACCTCATCTCTACAATAAATCAAAAAATCAGCCGGGTGTGGTAGCGCGCGCCTGTAGTTCCAGCTACTTGGAAGGCTGAGGCAGAAGGATCGCCGGAACCCAGCAGGTCCAGGCTGCGGTAGCCGGGGGTCGGCCACTGCACTCCAATCTGGGCGACAGAGTGAAACTCCAACTCAAAAAAAAAAACCCAAAAAACAATATATGTTACATGGATGAACCTTGGAAACATGCTAACAAAAGAAGTTAGCTACAAATAATCACAGACTGTATTATGTTCATATTAAATATCCAGAGTAAGTAAATCCATAGAGCAGAAAGACTGGCGGTTGCCAGAGGGTGGGGAGAGGGAGGAATAAGGAACTGCTTAATGGGCACGGGGATTTTTTTGGGGTTGGTGAAATTGTTCTGGAGCTAGAAAGAAGTGGTACACAACATTGTGAATGTACTCAGTGCCACTGAATCAGTGTACCTTAAGATGGTTATGCAATATGAATTTTACATTTTAAAAAAATTTATTTTAGAGGCTGGGTGTGGTGCTCACACCTGTAATCCCAGCACTTTGGGAGGCAAAGGTGAGAGGACTGCCTGAGCTCAGGGGTTCAAGACCAGCCCAGGCAGCATAGCGAGATCTTGTGTCTCCAAAAAAATTACCCAAGTGTGGTGGTGCATGCCTGTAGTCCCAGCTACTCAGGATACTGAAGTAAAAGGATCTCCTGAGTCCAGGAGGTGGAGGCTACAGTGGACCATGATCATTGTGATCATGCCACCAATGCACTCCAGCCTAAGTGACAGAGTGAGATCCCAACTCTCTCTCTCTCTCTCTCTCTCCCTCTCTCTCTCTCTCTCTCTCTCACACACACACACACACACACACACTCCATTTTAAGCCTGGTGTGGTAGCTCACACCTGTAATCCTAGCACTTTGGGAGACCAAGGCAGGATGATGGCGTGAGCACAGTAGTTCAAGACCAGCCTCGGCAACACAGCAAAACCTCACAGTTACAAATACATTTTTCTTTTTTTTAGTTGGAGTCTCTCTCTGGCCCAGGCTGGAGTACAGTGGTACACTCATGGCCACCCCAGCGTCAACACACTGGGCTCTGGCAATCCTTCCGCCTCAGCCTTCCAAGTAGCCGGAACTACTGGCATGCACTACTGTGCCCAGCTAAATTTTTATTGTAGAGACGAGGTCTCGCCAAGTTGTCCAGGGTGATCTCGAACCTGCAGGTTCAGGCAATCCTCTCACCTAGGCCTCCCAAAGTGATAAGATTACAGGTTTGAGCCATGGAGCCCAGTCTACAAAAACATTTTAAAAATTAGGTGAGCGTGTTGGCATGTACCTATAGTATCAGCTACTGGGGAGGCTGAGGTTGAAGGATCACTTGAGCCTAGAAGGTCAATGCTGAAGTGAGCCATGATGGTACCACAGTACTCCAGCCTGGACGGCAGAGTAAGATCTCGACTCAAAAAAAAAAAAAAAATCCATTCTACTTCAAAATGCCCAAGCAATGAATCTAAATGACAGAAAAACTTGGAGTGAAAAGGAATACCAAACTGACAGTACAAAGTGATGTTGTTTTCCCAAGTCATCCAAATGCAGAAGAGTGGTGACCATGACCAGCTGTATTTGCCAAGAAATTGTCACCACCTGCCAACCTTTCCTGGGTCTATCTTTGAAGACTAAGGATTTCGTCTGGGCTGGCACGGTGGCTCAGCCTGTAATCCCAGCACTTTGGGAGGCCGAGGCCGGAGGATTACCTGAGCCTGGGGGTTCGAGACCAGCCTGGGCAACTTGGTGAGACCTCGTCTCTAATCTCACACACACACACACACACACACACACACACACACACAAAACCCTAGTTGGGTGTGGTGGCGTGAGTCTGTAGTTCCAGCTACTTGGAAGGCTGACGTGGAAGGATAGCCTGAGATCGAGGCTGCGGTGGCCATGAGCGTGCCACTGCACCCTGGGCGTCAAGAGACTCCAACTCAAAAAAAAAAAAAAAAAAAAAAATTTCTGTCTATACATTTTTTTTCTTGGGACACTGAGTAGAGTCTATTCGTCCATTGACTTATCTGTTCATCTGTCTACTTTAGGAAAGTCGTCTCCAGGTCCGCGAAGCCAGACGGAAAGAGGAGATGAGAGACAGGCTGCTCAGTGGCGGGTAATACATCGGGAACCAAACAACAGATTATTTACCGAGGACCTACGATGCGACAAGCACCGTGATGTGAGGGAGGTGCTCAACAAGCGTTGCCACTCCATCCTCACAACAGCTCCGGAAAGGTAGCCCTATCATCACCCCCATTTTGTGGATGAGGAAACTAAGGCTCAGCAGAGTGCTTGCCTCATGGAAAGGACAGGGCGGGCTTTGAACTAGGCAAACTGGCTCCCAGGCCCAGTCTTCCCACCTGGGCTTTCATCTTTCTGAGTTGGGACCACTTGAACGACTCTGTTTACTTGCTGGCCCGGAGTTTGAGGCCCCAGGTATGGAAGGCGGGGCCACGCCCCCTCCGCCCACTGTAAGCAAGGAAGACTGACCCACGTTGGGTCAGGTCTCAGGTCACTCACTTCTCACAGACACTCTATAGAGTGGTCGTTCCATCACCCCCAACTTACAGACGAGGAAACCGAGAAAGTGATGGTTCTAAGGCGCAAAGGGAAGGGGCGGGGGTTCGGGCGTCGAATCTTTGGTCACGCTCACAAAGCGAGCACACCAGGATGCCCCTTTTGCCTCCGCCGCGTCCCAACTGAGCGTTTTTATAGGCGAGCCCTACGGGTCGCGTGCAGGGCCACACCCAGGCGCTATTTTGGGCCCGCCCAATGGTCGTCACACGCGGCGTACTCTGGGAAAACCGCAGGGAGGCCCCTTAGGGGAACCCGGCCGCCTCCACCTTAGTTGTCTTAGCTTTTGCCTACGAAAGGTGCGCCACCATGGCCCTTATTTTTGTCATTTTTTTCCCCACCAGTGTTTGAGATTAGAGCCGGGGACCTTTCAGAAAAAAGCCTGTAGACAATTAAGTGTTTTCAAGCGCGTCAGGCATTCATTCGGGCAGCCTGCCCTGGGGGGGGGGCTTCACGCCTGGCTCCGTGATTTAAGACAACAGACAGAAGAAGCTGCCAATGAGCTTTGCCGAATAGCAGAGAGGGGCAGAGCTAGCCCTTAAAGGAGCCGCGACTCGTTAGCAGACCAGATGGTGACCCGGATGATGGCGGCCGGCGCGGCCCTAGCCTTGGCCCTGTGGCTATTATTGCTGCCAGTGGAGGTGCGAGGGGCGGGACCCCCGCCGATCCAGGACGGCGAGTTCACGTTTCTGTTGCCCGCAGGAAGGAAGCAGTGTTTCTACCAGTCCGCGCCGGCTAACGCAAGCCTGGAGACCGAGTACCAGGTAAAGGGTCCCAAGCCGGGGAGCTAGCGGAGTCACGGTGAGGGGGCGTGGTCAAGCTGCCGAAGCATGGGTTTGGGAAGGAGGAGGAGTCCGTGCGTTTGAGCGCGGGGGCGGAGTTAGGGGGATTCTAGACGGAGGGGGCTGGGACGACGCGGGAGAGAGAAACCAGTGGGAGTAACAACGAAAGCGTGGCTAGAATAAGACAGCCGGAGGGCGGCGGGGCCAACGGGATGTGGCTCCTTTGGGACGGGGCCCTCGCGAGTGGGCGTGGCCAGAATGCTGATAGGTAGGATAAGAGGGCGTGGCCAACAGGATTTCCCCGGGATTGAGTTGAGACGTTTCACCTTTTGGAGGCGGGGCTAAGTTAGGGGGCGTGGTCAGGTAAATTTCCATCTACGACCTTTGATGGGGGCGTGACCAGATGAAAGTAAGGACCCGGAGGCTGTCAGATCAATGAGGGCGGAGGCACGGCTTGGCGCGCGGCCAGAAGGATAGCGGGGCAGGACCAGGTTGTAGGTATGTGGGCGCTCATCGGGTAGGCTAATTGTGTGGTCCAGCCCTGGCCCTCTTCGGCAGGCGCCCGTGGCCTCCTCCTAGCCCTCCGCTCTTACCTGCCCCCCAGGTGATCGGAGGCGCTGGGCTGGACGTGGACTTCACGCTGGAGAGCCCTCAGGGTGTGCTGTTGGTCAGCGAGTCCCGCAAGGCTGATGGGGTGCACACGTGAGTGAAGTCCTGCTGCCTGCCTGGGTTCAGTTACAGCCCTGCCCCTCCCCAGAGGCCTCAGGTTACTGCCCTGCCTATCTGCAGAGTCCAACTGGTGGCCACTCAGGGTCATATCTGTGTGTTTCTCTCTCTCAAGGGTGGAGCCCACGGAGGCTGGGGACTACAGGCTCTGCTTTGACAACTCCTTCAGCACAATCTCAGAGAAGCTGATATTCTTCGAACTCATCTTTGACAGCTTGCAAGACGATGAAGAGGTCGAGGGCTGGGCAGAGGCCGTGGAGCCCGAGGAGATGCTGGATGTCAAAATGGAGGACATCAAGGTGCGCCTAGGCAGAGCTGGGGCCACTCCTCCCAGATCGCTGGCATTGGCCAGCAGGGCACTCCTGCCCTGTCTTCAACCCATTGGCTGACCCCGGGTCCCTTACATAGTGGTGGGCCCAAATGAATTATAGTAACAGTAGCAGCCCCATTAAAGTGATAGCTAATTTCTCGATGTAAACCTTGTCTTAAGGGCTTACGTAACCCATATATCATAAATAACTCGTATCACAAATCTCAACCACCCCATGAAGTAGAGCCTATGCTCTAATTATCTCCATTTTACAGTTGGGGAAACTGAGGCATAGGATGGCCATGCAACTCAAGGCCATATAGCTAGCTATTGGCAGAACCAGTATTTGAAACTAGTCAGTCAGGCTTCAGCAACTGTGCTCTTTCCTTAGCCACAAGTAACTATGTTCTGTAACATTTAGGCATTCAATTTCCATAGCAATCCTGAGGCGTTTAGAAGAGGAAACTGAGGCTCAGCAAGGTTAATTAACTTGCCCCTGGTCACACAGCCAGTGAATGGCATAGTGAGGATTGGACTTAGGCAGCCTGGCCAGTTTTTGTTCTTGGCTATCCCTTCTCCAACCCTACCCCCCTTCGTTTTATTGGTCTCTGCTTCTGGAAGGGAAGAAGTCTGACCTACGCCTCCCTCTGTCCTGCAGGAGTCCATCGAGACCATGAGGACCCGGCTGGAGCGCAGCATCCAGATGCTGACCCTGCTGCGGGCCTTCGAGGCACGGGACCGCAACTTGCAGGAGGGTAACCTGGAACGGGTCAACTTCTGGTCAGCTGTGAACATGGCCGTGCTGCTGTTGGTGGCTGTGCTGCAGGTGTGCACACTCAAGCGCTTCTTCCAGGACAAGCGCCCTGTGCCCACGTAGCCCCTGCCCACACAGAACAGGGGACAAAGGAGGAGCAGCGGGCGTATGCGTGTATGACTTGGGCTCTCCCTAGCTGGTTCTCCTGGGGCAGGCAGGGAACACAGCCAGCTCAAAGATCTCAGCCATCCAGGAGGGGCAGCTCAGTGGCCACATGGATGTCGTGCGTGGTGGGCACTGTGGCGTGGGAATGCGACCCTTGGATTCCTGGCTCCCCTACTGTAAATGTGCCTTAGCCCAAGTCTTCCAGCCTGCGACCACTCTGCCTTGTGCAGGCCAGGCCCAGCCAGCAAACCGTGCCCAGCTTGCCTATCTTTTGGGCTAGGGGAGGCCTGCTTATGTCAGGGGCCAGGAAGGAAACACGGCCACAGAGTTCTTGCCAAGATGTCACTTTATTCAACAGAAAGCACTCCTTCCCAGGAGCCGGCTGGGTGTGAAGACTGGTAAAAGAACTCCAGGAGGGAGATCTGCAGGACAACATCCCCCCCTTAGGTGGCCCCAGACAGGGCTGGGGGAGTAGCCTGGCCACAGCCTGAGCGGGAGCCTCCAGGAACAAAGGGAGACCTGGCCTGGACACCAGAGTCAATAAATTATGGTCAGAAAATCAGAGCCTGGTGTCTGGGGCTCAGGGACACCAGCTGGGACAGCCCTGCTCCCAGGATGGCCAGGCAGGCGGGAGGGGTCTCCCACGAAGCTCAGAAGAAAGGTCGTGCGGGAGCCGATGGAGGCGGTCGCCTGGGCACAAAAGAAAAATCAAAAAGCATTGTTTGACTATGTCCCCGGCAGGGCCACCATGTCTGGGCTTCCCCGGAGAAGGCGAGACAAGGGGACCCAGGGCTAGGGGGCTGGGCTTCCCTTTCCGTGTCAGTTTTGCATGGCAGCAGCAGACAGGGTATGGGGCAGTGGGAAGTACCCACTCCCGAGGCACTCCATCCTCTGCACGAGGTTTCCTCCTGAGAGAACAGCATCCCGGCAGAGCCCCCTGTGAGGCGTGGGGGACTGATGACAGGAGGGATGGGCACCCTCCTGGGGGGCTGCTGGGCAAAGGCGGAGCCCGCGTCCTCGCCTGACAGCAACACAGAGGCCCACACAGCAGCCACCAGAAGCGTCTTCCCTTTATTTAGTTTATTAATAGGGTACAGAGTGCAGGCACTTACAGTGGTCAGACCGCGCGAGGAGCAGCAGGAAGGTCTACTCAGGGAGAGGCTGCCCTGCCCGGGACCCACCCGGTGGAGGCGGCCTGGGAAGGAGCTGAGAGGCCCCCAAAGGCCCTCCACACCACACGGCCCCAAGCCCAAGCCACCCTGGGGACCCATGACGAGGAGGAGGGGGCCAAGAAGGGAGAGAGCATGGCCGGTCCGGGTTGAGGGCTCCGGGCCTGCAAAGGCACCTCCGGCAGCCGAGGCTGGGCCGGGCTCAGGCTGTGTGGTTAATGTGGCCAAGGAAGGAATATGTACAACTCAGGCCTGACAGGCGAGCAGTGCGGGCACATGGCCTAGCTCACTGATGGGAAGTGGAGATACTCCTAGCCCCACCAGAGGAGGGGTTCAGGTACCCTTGGTGCCCCGGCTTCTAGAAGGCCTACTGAACTTTGCCTTTCCCAGCCAGAGAAGACTCTGTGACAGAGTCACCCCAGCATGGAACCCTCATTCAAGATGGTGCCCAGGGTGCAGGTCCCCTCTACCACTCCGAGACCCCATCCTCAAAGTGCAACACCCTAGCGCCCCCGCCTGGCTCCAGGGCCCTTCTCTGGGTGCGATGTCCAGCTGGGATGGGATGGGCCGGGCCGGGCCGGGCCGGGCCAGTCCCAACAGGGCCGGGTGAAGGAGGAGACAGACTGCTCGCAGGGAGCCTGGTCCCACTTAGTGGCGGAGGGGCCCCGACCACCGGAGCTCCTGCACCGTGGGTGTGCGAGGCCCCCAGAAATGCCCCCCCACGGGCCTAGTCGAGCAGGGATGGCTCGGCCGGGCGAATAATGGTGGGCCGGCTGGGCGCAGCAGGGGGTCTTCTGCTGCAAAGAGAATAAAGACAGACGAGAGGGGGAGACGGCAGTGAGGCCAAGCAGGAGGCAGGGCCGGACCAGGAACCTCATCCCCACCCCAGGGCCCTCACCTCATCCCCACCCCAGGGCGCTCCCAGTGCTGACTGCTCTGCAGGCTGCCAGGGTACTGGGAAGACTTTGCCAAACCCAGGTACCAGCGCTCCCCACCCGTTACTTGCCTGCTGTGGGAGCCTTGCCCTTGGAGGCCCCCAGCTTCCCCACAGAAAAAGCGGAAACAGAGTCTGGCCTGCCAGGAAGGGTTGAAGTAGGCAGAGGCAGACAAGGCAATGAGTGGGAAGAAGTGCCCGGCACTGAGTCCTGAACTGCGTGGTGGCCCACCCATGAGTGCAGAGGACAAGCCAAGGGTCCTGGAGTCACCCGGACTCCATCACTCTGTGACTTTAGGCAAGTGATTTGGCCCATCTAGGCCTCAATTTTCCCACCAGCCCTCAGCCAAATGAGATAAGGATGGCTCCTCTGCTCCCTGCTGGAAGGAAGTGGGACTGGAGGAGGGACCCCAGGGCACAGGCAGTGGGGATGGGGTGAGGGGATGGGGGTTTACCTGGGCACTCCAGGGGGAATGCCGGGGGGGATCCGTGCTGGCCGAGATGGTATCAGAGGTGGGGCTGAGAAGGGGTCACTGTTGGCAAACACACTCTGGGGTCCAGGTCGGGATGGAATGGGGGGCGCCGAGAAGGAGGCTGCAGCCCCCACTGGCACAGGAATCAGGGGGGGCCCTGGAGTGGGGCCCCTCACCGCTGGGGGCCTGCCTGGGGGGTGCACGCTGGACACAGGTCGCCGCTGTGGAGTGGGACTGTGGAAGAAGAAGAGGCAGTCAGCTGGGCCATTCCACTATGGCTGAGCGGGCCCGAAATGGGGATGGCACTGAGGGGCAGCACAGGTGCAAGGGGAGCCTCCCACCCCAACCTGGTACCAATCCCACCTTCTCTCACCCTCGGCCCCCATGGGCACCCTCCCAGGCCGCAGTCCTGCTACCCAGGGTCCGGAGGCAGTGTCCTCTCCACAGGGACACTGCTCGCAGGGAGCCTGGTCCCACTTAGTGGTCCCACTTAGTGACCACCGGAGCTCCTGCACCATGGGTGTGCGAGGCCCCCGAGAAATGCGCCCCCCCACGGGCCTAGTCGAGCAGGGATGGCCGGGCTGGGCGAATAATGGCTCCCTGAGGCTCAGTAGGGCTGGCATCCTCAGGGCTTCCCTGCCCAATCCTACTAATGACCCACACTCGAGTCTCTGGGCTGGTGGCACCTGCTGCCCTTCTCTGTGCTCCATGAGACTGATTCCTGTGGTGGTATCCCCTGAGCCTCTTGCCCCCTAGAGGGGGTTCAGGGTTTTATGCGCAGCTTCCCCTGCTGTGGGCGGCCCTTTGCGCTGTGCTACCTGGCCCCAGACCCCTTCCCCCTGCCCACCCTCAGGCTGTGCCCGGTTTCCTGCAGGACCCAGATGGACAGGTGGCAGACTGAGCCATACAGACCTGTGGCTGCTGGCGCTCTGGAGCCAGGTGTCGTCGACGGGTGGGGGCACAGGTGTGGACACAGTGCTGGTGCTGATGTCCCCGATGATGTTGAGTGCCTCCTTGAGTGCGTGGTACATGCGCAGCATGTCGTCCCGCCGCTGCGCCTGGTCAGCTGACTCTTCCATGAGGCTGCTCTGGTCGGCTGACGAGTACAGATAGGCCAGCAGCTCGTGGTGGATGAAGGCCTTCGTCTGGGGGCAGGGTTGGAGAGGTCAGGCCACCACCCCACCGAGAGCCCAGGGAGTACCGACACCAGCTGGGAAAGCATCCACTGCACACCGCACAACCTCTTCAGTCTTGTGTTTTTAGAGACAGGGTCTCGCCCTGTCACCCAGGCTGAAATGCAGTGGCATGATCATAGCTCACTGCAGTATCTCAACCTGCTAAGCTCAGGCAATCCCCCCAGCTCACCTGGGACGACAGGTGCATACCACCACACCTGGCTAATTTTATTATTTTTTTGAGAAACCGGTCTTGCTGTATTGCCCAGGCTGGTCTCAACTCCTGAGCTCAAGTGATCCTCCAGCCTCGGCCTCCCAAAGCCATCACGCCCAGCCCTCTGTTGTCTTTTGCTTTCCTTAGAACAACTAACACATGTAGAGTGCAGGGAAGCCCTGCAGCCAGTGGTCTTCTGAGCCTACCAGGCACTTTCAAATGATCTTCCCACCATCTCACAAGGTTCTAATTAAACTTATTTGTAGTATCTTATCTTCCATTATGCCTTCTAACTGGCCTTTATTCAAACACTAGTAATTTCTTTCTTTTTTTCTTGAGTTGAGGTCTTACTCTGTCGCCCAGGCTGGAGTATAGTGGCATAATCATGGTTTACCACAGTATTGAACTCCTGGGCTTAAGCAATCCTCCCATCTCAGAATAGCTGGGACTACAGGTGTGCATCACTATGCCTGGCTAATTTTTTTGATTTTTTGCAGAGATGAGATCTTGCCATTTTGCCCAGCTGGTCTCAAACTCCTGGGCTCAAGCAATCCTCTTGCCTCAGCCTCCCAAAGTACGAGGGTTACAGACAAAATATAACACGAGTTATACTCGTTTCTGCTCATTAATTTCATACTTTTTTCCTTTGTGGTGACTCCTGTTGGATAAAGAAGTTTTTCAGTTACTTTACGTGGGGTTTCCAGAAACATAAATTCATGTACATGAGCTACAAATAGAAATCACTTTTCCTATTCTTTTTTTAAGAGATAGGGTCTTGCTGTGCTGCCCAGGCTGGAGTGCAGTGGCGCGATAATAGCTCATCACAGTCTTGAACTCCTGGGTTCAGGTGATCCTCCCGCCTTAGTCTCCCCAGTAGCTGGCACTACAGGTGTGCACTACCATACCCGCCCAGCTAATTTTATTTTTTAGAGCAGGGGTCTTGCTGGTCTGCCCAGGCTGGTCTCAAACTCCTGGCCTCAAGTGACTCTCCAACCTTGGCCTTCCAAAGTTGCTGGGATTACAGGCATGAGCTACACCACGCCTGGCCTCGTTCTGATTTGCAATGTCACACTCACATTGTTGATCATGAGGTGCATGATGGTCTTTGGCATGAGGTCGCGGATGGACTTGTTGATAATGGCCACGTAGGAGTCCACCAGGTTGCGAATGGTCTCCACCTGCCGCTCCAGTTGCGGATCCATGGAGAAGGTATTCTCCTGGGTCCCATCCTCGTTTTCTGCCTGGAGGTAGGAGGAAAGGCAGTGTGAATGACTGCACCCTGAGGCAGGTACAGCAGTCCTTCTTGTCTAGAACTGCATGCCCTGCCCCACTGACAACCACCCTGAGGCCTGCCCCTGACAGTCCTTTTGGTACCCTGGGACCTGCTTGCCCTGGCCAGAGCTGCCTGGGCTCAGGCGACCCTGGCCTAAGGGCAGTGGACCCTTGCACCTGAGAATTGGGGCATGTTAATTTGGGGGTTGAGGGCAGCCATGGTCATTCTGCCTCAGAGACGAGTGGAGAAAGAGAACAAAGCAGACAATATCCTAGTCCCTTTTTGTCCCTGTCCTAGGCTTTGTGGGAGGACTTTCTGGGCCCTGGTAAAAAATTACCCCCTTTCAGAGTCCTGGCAACATGACCCAGAAAAACTCCACGTGGAAACCAACAGGTGCCTCCCTGCCTACCCCCCCACCTCCTCCCC